CCTAGGGGTGGTGACGGGTTGCCGGCGGCAAGTAAGGAGCGAGCGCAGAGGACATCTAGTTGGGCAAAGTCAGGGGCGAAGGCGAGGTGTCCGATTAGGATTAGTGAGGGGGGGAGGTGCTGCCACCGGCCCGGGCGGCAATGGCGAATCTAAAATTTTAATTTAGGGTATGCCGTCCAAAAATTTTCATATACAATTTGGTAAATGTATTTTAGCAATTCGGTAATAATTGTAAATTTTGTAACATGATTCGATAAATTCAAGGATCAAGTTGAAATCATCCACTAAATACATTATAAATAGTTCAAATATAGGCATAAAAGAGTATCAGAGACTTACAATGCTATTTTTGTGAATGTTTTATTTGACGCTTTCAAAGAGACATGAATGTCTTGAGTATATCATCTTCATCAACTTCAAAGAAAATATGTCTTGAGTTAGAAGGATTGAAGGCCGACATACAAGACAACAACTCCATATTACTCTGCCAAGAGTCTGCTCTTCCAGCATAAGTTCGACCGGATCAAGGGAACGTTTAGAAGTAAGCCAGGATGAAAAGTATTGTTCGCTGATTTGCTATGAGAGAAAAACACTGTAACATGGCTGATAAGTCAGGCTGATAAGTTAAGCGAACATGGCCGCAACATCCGAGTTTCTCTTCATAAGAGCACAAATATTAAACACAATACTAAATAATTAAGCAATTTATTATTTGTGATGTTTGAAAATTGCTATTGAAGTACACAATAATTTTTTTAAAAATACGAATAGCACAAGAGACCGAATAACAAATTTTGGATTTCATCTAAACAATATAACGAATCAAGAATCAAGACGAGTAGATGACGAACCTCCGTGAGACTGTGACTATCTGATAATCTAATTAGTGTGACCGTCCAGGCGGCACGGCATGAGGCGGCGTGTTCGATCACTTCGATGTTCCATCCTCTCGCTCCGTCGTCTCCGATCGAGATTAGATTAGGCCATTAGGGATAGGTTAGGGAAATTGGGAGGAAAGTCTCGCGTACTCACATGGGCAATGAGATTGCGTAACTGCGTATGCACGGCGGCACCGGGTGACCAGGCCATCAGGGCGTTTCATGATCCTTTGGTGGACTTACCGCGTGGGCCGCCTCACATGGGCCTTTCTTGGTGGCGTGATCCAGGATTCCACCAGGTAAGTTATTTTCTTTTCTTTTTTTTACAATATAGATACTTATATATTATACGATATACCTATATATATATAATAATATGCTTGCCGGTACTGTAGGGTATGCCAGTGCATAGCTGGCATACCCTGTGGCTCCGCCACTGCCGGGCGGTGCTCAAGGCGGCGGAGGGAGGAGATAGAAGGGTGCAGACAGAGGAGGAAGATGACTGTGCGTTAGTAACCTTCCTTACGCACGCGCTGAGTAAGAGACTCGCGGGCAAAGTCAAGGACCTTGGTCTTGCCACGGGGTGGACGTCCCCCTCGTTGGCAAAGGGATCCATGAATTCATGCAGGATTCGGTTCACGGACAAAGCTATATTATAGTTAGATTGTGTTCTCAAATATATGAAAACCGAACTGAATATATAACTTAAATTTCACCATATATACATCGTCATGCTACGATACTTCGGTTACCTCATAATAAGAACTAAGACCTCAGATAAACATAGGCCATTACATTTTACAAGGCATAACCAAATTTGGATCAGTAATGAGAAAAAAAAATCAAAGGAAAGAACTAGTACCTACTCTCAAGCGATCGAATCTTCTATCCTATTTTTGGTGATATACCTGACCACTAGAGTGCTCGAACCATAGATTTTCTTTAAGGATATCAAGTGTTGCCTCCATTACTCCTTACATTATGTCACATACTCACGGTACATTTTACCTCTTATGCTTACAAAACCAACTCACACTTAGTCACGACAAGGTTCCCAAAAAAAAATTTGGGCAATTTTCACACGATATGCAAACAAGTTTTTTTTTTTTGTGGCAATTTTCATGATAAGGCTGTGTCATTTTTTTTATCTCCAAAGTGCACACACCTCAGGCTATGCCCCTTGTACAGGCTAAGTCAATTTTCACACGAGAAGCATGCAATTCTTTTGCCATTCTCTTCCACACGAGAAAAGCATGAGGCTTTTCGTATCTTTTAAAAAAATAGAAAATAATTCCAAGGGATTTGGGCCGCAACCCGGAAGTGAGCAGCCTCGGGATAAGGAATAATGCCAATCCATGGCCATGGGCCATGGCCGAATCACGGACTGACCATTCGTTTTTTATCCTTGATGAGGCAAGCGCAACGGATTGGGCCCCAAGCGATCTGGGATTAGATTGAAATGCCATGCAAAACAGAGAGGGAAAAAAAAGGAGCACCAACAGCAAGAAATGGTTGATCATGATGCCTCGTTACACTGTCAGCACAATGTTGCAATATGAAAAACAAAACTGAATAAGCAACCATTTCCTAGCACACCACGCACAAGGGGCATGAAGCCATGAACAAAAGAGCTGTTTGTTTCTTCCTCTGTTTGCTTCACATCATTTCAACGGTATCTCCACACCAGAAGTCTTTGTAATATTTGTTAACACTATTGTCTTATTTGGTCAGCAGGGTTACTCGCTCACAATGAGCATACCAATCATTACCATTCCTAGTGTTTCTGGGCACAGCTATAACCTCAAGTGGTGAGGTGGCAATACCTTTTCCTCACTTTGCTGGTGGCAAAGAAATTCTTATCCTTTAGTTGAATGTCAGGTCACCGGTGTTCCAAGCTAGCAATACACCATGCAGCCTATCATCGAAGACGGTCTAACCTGTTAATTGTGAAGTAAATGTCGTCATATTTAAATTTATTAACAGAGATGACATTGTTCTAAAATTTGAAGGAACATATTTTCATCCAATGTTTTTAAGGCGTCGCTTTGGCGTCGCCTAATCGGCAAGGCGCTACAGGCGGGACGACTTGGCGGACGACTCGCCTCAAATAAGTACTCCCCTCGATTCCGCCGTCTCCGCGTCGATTCCGCTTGATTCTGCCTTCTCCTCGCCGCTGTCCGCTCGATTCCGCCGTCTCCTCGCCGCCGTCCGCTCGATTCCGCCGTCTCCTCGCCGCCGTCTGCTCGATCTGGAAGGGGACGATGGCAGCTATAGATCTGGAAGGGGAGCAGCGAGGGAGGGAGTAGAGCAAGGAGAGACGAACGGAGATGCCAGAGCAAGAGAGGGAAGCGGCCATGGCGCATGAGGGATGAATGGAGGCGGAATGAGTGGAGGAGAACCAGAGAGAGCCTCGAGAGGATTAGGATAAGCCACGCCAGGAGGGAACAGGCACATGGGCGCTGGTGGGTGGTGGGCCAGCCCACTTCTTACTCCTCTTTTCTTTTTCCTTTTTTCCTTTTCTTTTTTCTTCCTCATCTACTGCTCTAAGTTGCTGTTTTAAGTTTTTCTTAAATTCGTAAGGCGTCGCCTCGCCTCACGATTTAGTCGCTTAAGTGTAAGGCGGTAGTCACTCGCCACGCCTCGCCTTACCGCCTTAAAAACATTGTTTTCATCTCCATATGGTATATGCAACGTTACAAAAGGTGATAGGCGCTCTCTAGGTGGTGATCCTCTACCCAGAGCTTAGGCAAGCCTAGGCGTTTTATCCCCATGCATATTTACCTCTAAATATCTAAAATAAAACAAGAAACAGGAGACAAATGGGCCAAGAATTATATAGAAAGGCCCTTGAAAACAGCCCAAGCTCAGGTCTGAAAAGCAAACCTTATCCCTAACATCCCTTTCCACCTTATCCATTCGGGCCAAAGTTCCCGTGCGGCCATGATTCACAACTGCCACTTTGTCTACTGCCGCAGTCCGCGTCTCTACTGCCCGCCACTCACAGTTCCTGCCTCCGCGCTGCCTGCCGCCCCGGACCCTGCCTCCTTCGCACTGCCCATTCGTCCCCAGTATCTCTCTCCCAGTCTCCTTTGTCCTCTAGTCGCGCGCCGCCACCACCCGCATGCGCCCGCCGTTCAACTCCGCCCGCCGTTCCTCCTCCCCCACCGGCCAACCTCCGCCCAACATCCCTTCCTCCCCCACCGCCACCCAATGTCCACGTCGCCCCCGCGTGTCCCTGCCTTATGTGGATCTGCGCGCCTTTGGCTGCTGGCACCGCCTACCCCCTAGGCTAGGGTACCCACCGCCCAGCACAGAGGCATGCCCAAGCGAGCGTGGAAGAGTACCTTGTTGAACGCTGGGTATATGAAATAAAAAAAAGGGTACCCAATGCAGAGAGCTCCTGCTCTGTGTGGGGTCTGGGTAAGGGTGTCCATGGAAAGCCTTACCCTCGCCTGTGCAATGCGAGGAGACCGCGACTCGAACCCAGGACCTTTCGGTCACAGGCGGTAAGAATCTACCGCTTGCACCAGGCCCGCCCTTCTGAGTATATGAAATCAAAACCTCTATGTAAATAAGCTTACCAGCTTGCTCCTAGTAGGAAAATGTAAAGAAATAGCAACCTACTATATGAACATGAAACTGAAACAATTCCATGAAAAATAGCATGACCAAAGACTGATAATGAATTCATAAAATGTTGAGACAAGCTACATACAAATATATTAAACTAAATACTAAAATATCAATGCATATACATATATAAACTAGAAAAGGTATAGTTTTTTGGAAACTTAGAAAAGGTATAGTTGGAATCCACAAGAATAAACTAACACTTCTGACTAAAGAAAGTTCTTTTATAAATTGGACAAGAACATAGAGATTTATGCAAAGAAAAATTGATATAAATGACCACATGTATGCATTGTCATTACATGGTTTCGCACACAAGATAATATAAAGTTTATTTTAGTAATCATCTGCTTATATGTTATTAAAAACAAAGCAAACTACGAACCACTACATGAATTACTTAAGTACTAAAATCTCACTGAACCAGACTGGCAAAGTTAGAGATCATACAAAACATACCTGTAATAGCCGACAAAAGGACAGAGCTTGAAGTTAAGATTGTGATGAAGGGTCCAATATATGCCCCATGAAGATTACTGAGCCAGACACCTCTTCTTTAATGACAAAGAAGAAAGGGTGGTCGGCAACAAAGTGCTCTCCTGGTGAGGGCTTTCCTATGCCCATTGTAACAGAAGTTTCTTCAATCCCTTTATCATTAACCTCCAAAATTGCTTTATGAAGTATGTCAGATAGATACAATGGACTTCTGGATTCATCTTCCTTGACCATATCAGTGAAATCTGCATCACGGAGGAAGGGTAATTCAAGGCCCATTTCTTTGAGAAACTCCTTCATATCGACCTGGAACGATACTGTGAACTTGGGAACCCTGATATCCACATGTCGCTTCTCAGTTGGCAAATGTTGTTCTAAGAATGATGGTTCCGCAAAAATTTTCTTAGTTAATTCAAACAAGCCATCATGAGCATCAGGTAGGAAGATGTACATGGAGAACTTCCGTTCATTCTTTCCTTGATGATAAGGAAGCTTAATCACTTTAAATCCATCATGAACTGCAAAAGGTCGAGTTCTATCATATTCTACAAAAGGGACCTCAACACAAGTTCCATCCAGACAGCAGAATTTTTGCACTGCAGTACTCCTAATATCAGTCTGATTAAGCCATCTTCCCCTAAAATACAGTGCACTGCCAATAACAAGTCCTGTATTCTGGTCAATGAATCCATCCGGAAGGAGCGAGGTAACAGTACCTTTTGTGGATTCTTTGACCCACATGTTAATTTGCTTAGCAGCATCTTCGGGCTTTAAAAATCAATAGAACAGAAATCATGTGAGTTTCATTGTTAAGAATTTCAGAAGAAAAATCATAGAAACAACAATATACATCACATGGTTGCAGATTGTTACTAAAAAAATAGAACAGTTCAAGTGGCATTTCTTTAAAGATACACCATAGTATTATTTTTTACAGCAACAAAGGTAGATAATGGGCATATTTGTCACCACAAACTCTCCAATGAACATTACATTTCTATCAGATCAAGGAGATGAACAGAAAAGGGTGCACATGCAGAGATCAGCAGTAGAAACAACATTAGACCAATTGAAACTACTGGGGTCAGTCCAGTCAAATACCATCTATAAAAGAAACATAGTGAGGAACTGCGATAACATTAAACAACAATTAAGATGTTCTGCTACAGTGACCCCTGGAACAAGCATATCATCGAGCACCTAATAAGCATGTCGTACAAGCGGGAATGGCACAATATTTCACACCTTGTTCATGAAGTCAGCCGTCCTCGCCGTGGAGCTGTACACACTACGGGCGGCCTCCATGAACCCCGGTAATAGGCTCGTCGAGGTGTCGGCCCATATTCCTCCTGCGAAGGCCAGCCGCGGCCCGCCGGACGTGGACCGGTCCTTGAGCACCCGCTTGACCACGCGCGACGCCACGTTGGCCGCGTCAGCCGCGGCACCCCTGCCCCCGCCGCCGCCGCCCAGCACCTGGAGGACCTGCCGCCGCGTGTCGCCGCGCGCGCCGGCGGCGGCCAGGGCGAGGGAGGCGTGGACCGCGACGGGGGACACGGCCGCGTTCCCGGTCGCCGAGGCGGCGAGGACGCGCCCCGCGAGCGGCAGGCAGAAGGCGCGCTGCGCGGCCGCGAGCGCCTCCCCCCACGGCCGCGTCGGTATAATCGGCGGCGGCGCATTACGAGCGTCTTTGGGAGAGCGCGCTGCCGCGGCGGACGCGGAGAAGGCACGGGGCCTGGTGCCTACGGGAAAGGGGAAGAGCTGGGCGGCTCCCGGTCGCCGCGGATGGAGACCTCGCCGGAGTGAGGAGGCCTGCATTTTGCCTAGTGAAATGTTGTTACCTAGGGTTCTTGAGGTTTTTCCTGCGTTATATGGTGAGAAGCGGGCTTAATGGAAATTGGGCCCTATTGGGCCTATGTGAGATGTTTTCAAAAATAATTGCAATTTATTTTTGTCAGATTTACAAATTTCGTAAAACGGTGTTTAGACTCTAGAGGGGCAGTTGGATTTTGGTTCCACTCTAGAGACGGTTCAATAGCTGCCTTCTAGATTTACAAATACGTTTGAGCCGCGTCTATAAATGTTTCTCATAGTAGTATCCTAGCATAAGAACTTAAGTCAGTTTGGATAAGATTTAGTCAAATCTTAAAATCACAAACATTAATAACTATTACATTATTTAGTTTGGAAACATACATGTTAGTTAGCCTTGTTTGGTATAACTCTGTTTTACTTCAACTCCATGAGAATCTCTACCAGTGGAGTTGAAAATGTTTTGATGAACGTCCTGTTAATTAGAACTTATCAGCTCGGCTTATTAGTCATGGTACAGTGTTTTTCTCTCACAACAAAACAACATCAACCGGCTTATCAGACGCAAAGAAATGTTTGGTAAAACTGCCGTATGGTACATAAAAAGAGTGAAATGTTCATAATATCCTTATGTATTCTTTTATTCTTTCAATGTTTTCCTCCTCTCATAGTTTTTCTTTTCTTCCCCTTTCTCTTCCTGGACTCACACCACCTCTTTAAAGTCGTCTGCCTCGCCTCCTGCGTCCTACGACTCCGCCCTACCCCCTCGAGCCCGACGATTGTGCCCCATCCCTTGCGCCCCACTCACCGAGAGCAGTGCCTTGCCCGCCTTCGCGCTAGTGGCTCCGTCCCTATCTCTATTCAGCCCAACACCTCCATCTACCTCCACCACGGTATCTTGTGCACTCCGCGCCTCACTTGCATGAAGCTTAGGCATTTAGCCCTATGAGCCTAGACAACGAACCGGTGGAAGATAACTATTTTTTGGCTCCCGTGGACTCTCCTGGCTCCAGAGCGTGCAAATCACGGCCGGAGCAGCGCGGAGCAAAATCCCTCAACCTCGTTTGGTAGGCGGAGCCACATAGCTGCGTGGCGAGCAGCTTCGAAAATGCTACAAAATGGGGCCTCATATGTCCCAAATTATATAAGATATTTGCTACATCTCTTATATTTGAAGAATATATTTAGAAAAAATATGGTCAATCGAAGAGGATGCTAAGTCAAAATGTAAGTATTTTTTATTGAAGGGAGTATATAATAAACTAAATTATGAAAATGTTCAACACATACCATCTTCAGATTGGATAATCCTTCCAACCTTTCAATTATAATGGTTCTCATGTGGTTAACAACAATAATCTCATGGTGATAACGTGTTAGAAAGAAGGCCACTTTTTTGTTCGATAAGATAAAGGCTCCCCATAGGAGTTTTACAATTTACAATACGCAGAGGTGCATGCTGTTCGAGCAGGATTCCTGTGGTCGCCTCCAGCCAAGGTTCACTTGGTGTTTTAGAAAAGAGAAAGAACATGTTTCCTGCTTCTTGTACTTCGAACGTAGAGTTTAATTGACTTATTAGGCTGTATTTGGGTTAGCTTCTGGTAATAAGTGCTTTTGTGCCAAGAAACAGAAAGCTAACTAAACCGGGTTGAACTTAAAGCTGTCTTTTCAGATGCATATGCTTTTGCCTAATTTTTAAAGCACCTTGAGGACTCTGCTTTTGGCTTTTAACTTACAGCTTTTCTAAATATGTAGAAATAGAAAGGTGTTTTTACTGCTGTTTCAAGGGAGATAAAAGATAGAACGTAAGTTTCATAGTTGTTTTAACTAAATAGCTTACCACTTTTTCGTAGCAGCATATAGCTTACAATTGCTTTTTCATAGCTTATAACATCTTTCTCATAGCTCACAGCTGAATCCCATTAACTAACTTAAGGTTAGTTCTACTATAAATGTTGGTCCATCGCTGGTCCATTTCAATGACATTAATTGCAAACTAGTTCATTCTTAACAAGAGTATTGCATAAACCAGTAAATTAGTTTTGTCTAGGATATTATTTGTCATTTCTTTTCTATTATTTCTTTGATTAATTAATTATACACGATAGTTGGCATGGTACGGTGACAAAATGGCAATCTAATTATATGAAATGGGAGTGTCTAATTATCGCTCGACTGATTTTATGTGGTCAAATCTCCTAGTAGAGAGTTGTAGCACAAATTATAAAGCACAATTGAACGTATGGAAATTTGATAGATTTAGTACCAAAGAAATCTGTCAACAAATAAATAGAAAAAGTCAATAACAAATTATACTTCCAATAATGCAATGCAAGAGTGTTGGTGATGGGCCCTGCACATGAGGCTGCAGCTTGTACCGCAAGGCTACCACAGGTGCCAACTGCTCAAGAAGAAAGAGAGGCAGTGGCACCATCAAGAACATGATGGTGCACTACTATAGAATTGGACATCACTACCGGTCTTATCACTGCTGGATTTTAAGAAACCGACAGTGATAGCCCATCACTATCGGTTTTTGGCTAAAACCGACAGTGATAGGACCAACAGATACTGATATTCAAAGTCTTCACTATCGGTTCATATCACTGTCGGTTTTAGTCAAGAACCGGTAGTGATATTGGGTCATCACTACCGGTTTTTGCCAAAAACCGATATTGATACTATCACTGTCGGTTCGTGGCTTGAACCGACAGTGATATACTACAAGAAAACTTCATAAGTTTCTCATATGATGTCCGATGAAGACGAACTTTATATCAAAGTTGTAGTACTCGATGAGATTTACAACTTTTTAGTTTAAACTTTTTTAATTTAAGATCGTTTGGATATCCAAATATTTTCATTTGAAATCATCTATCTAATGAAAATTACGTTTGATTTCTAAAATTGAAAATTTAAATTTTTCAAACAACATCGGATAGAGAAACGCCCAAAACAAAAGTTGTAGAACTCAAAAAGTTATGCAACTTTGTAGTTGACAACTTTTTCATTTGAAATCATTTACTACTTCAAAATGTTGTTTGAAATTAAATTTTGAAATTATTGAAGAACTCTGATTTCTCTTTTTAATCTCTGGCTAAAATTTATAACTAGTTTTTCTCCCTCATACTAACTTCAAATTTGATGATTTTTTTCCTAAAAATTTCTAAAATCATGCTCTATCAATTTATTATGTTCTTATAGCTATTATTTTATCCATCTTTTCATGTGACTATGTTTTATCTATTCGAATTTTGAATTTAAAAAAAATAGCAACTTCAACCGTCATTTTGGAACACTAAATCATTTCAGCTGAAAAAGTCATGAACATAGAACATTTGTGAACAATGTTACGACCACTATGTCGGATAAATAAATGATCAAATGACCAAAGTAAAAAGTTGTAGATCTCGAAAAGTTATCAAACTCTATGGTTGACAACTTTTTATTTGAAATCATTTTTTGAAGGAAAACTACGTTTGAATTTCTAAAATATGAAATTCAAATTTTGTAAATGACCTCGGATGGAGAAACTACCAAAATAAAATTTGTAGATCCCAAAAAGTTATGAAACTTTTTAGTTAATAACTTTTTGATTTGAATTCATCTTATCAAGAAAAACTATGTTTAAATTTCCAAAAAATTAAAATTTGAATTTTTTAAACCACCTTGGATGGACAAATAACAAAAACGAAAGTTATAGATCTCAAAAAGTTATGAAACTTTGTAGTTGACAACTTTTTAATTTGAAATCATTTTATCATGGAAAACTACGTTTGAATTTCTCAAATTTGAAATTCAAATTTTGTAAACGACCTCCGATGGAGAAACTATCAAAATCAAAGTTGTAGATCTCGAAAAGTTATAATACTTTGTAGTTGGAAACTTTTTCATTTGAATTCGTTTAGGGTCCCAAATACTCATTTTAAAATCAGATGAACAAATGGATATGACGAAAATCTCATTTGACATAAACAGCTTGCAGGTGGAGTGGTTAGGGGTCGAAGATGCAAAGCAAGAGGTCAGAGGTTCGAGCATCGGTGGCCGCGAAGCCGTGTTTTGGATTTTCTAAAAACTACATCATTGTCGGTTTATAAGAACCGGTAGTGATATCAATCCCACATTACTGTCGGTATGCCACTATCGGTTCAAAATCTGGCAGTGAAGGGAGTTTTTGAACCGAAATGTTAAGATCTGTGTTAGTGGCGAAGACTAAGGTGTTGTGACACAGGAGCCACGTGTCTGGCATGAGTAGCGGAACCATGCGGCTTCTGCCCAAGTCATGGTGCGCCCCAGCACCACCTCTGCCTCCTGCATCATGCCGTATGGGATCATCTTCGGCCTCTTTGTGTGTGCGCGCGCGTGTGTGTGTGTGTGTGTGTGGGGGGTGGCGCTAACAACCTTGCTCTTGTCCTGGAATGTAGATGGAGCAGCGAGTCCATGTATTTATAGCCGGTGGTGGTGCTGGCGGTGTAGTATCTTAGTTGTGACGGCAAATTCGCACCAACAAGAAGCAACATGCATGTGAAGAGGTCTCATCTATATCTATACTCATGCCTACCCCCTCGTCCCAAACTATAAGTCATTCCATTTTTCTTGGAGAATCAAAACATCTCAAGTTTAACTAAATTTATATAATAAATAATAACATTTATGATACCAAATAAGTTTTATTAGATTCTTCATTTTAATTATATTTTTATAATATACCTATTTGATGTAATAAATATTTGTAATTCTGGTCAAACTTGAGAAGTTATGACTCTCCAAGAAAGTTAGAACGACTTATAATTTGGGATAGATGGAATATATCTATATTTATATCTATATCTATATCTATATCTATATCTATATCTATATCTATATCTATATCTATATCTATATCTATATCTATATCTATATCTATATCAGTTATCCACCTCACCAGTGCGCTATAAGAAGCATTTATAGTCAACTAGCATTTGCAATTTTGATCTTCATGTCAGCAAGACACATCATCCATTAAT